ACCCGCCGCTCCCGCAGCCCGCTGCGAAAGGGTGCATCCCGACGCTAAAGTTTTTTTCTATTATCGGTTTTAATTTATTTTTTCTACCCGCCTGTGGCCTCGTTATAAAGAACGTTCCAGACGTATGACGCGGCGCGGAGGAGCTCGAAAATCTGCCACGTGGCAAATGAGCTAGAGCGCCCGCCCCCTATTACCATCGCCACCGCCCTCACCACTGTCTTCCTCCTCGCCGCCAGCCCTCCCGCTCTGACAGCCTCCTGTTACCTCGGCTTCCAGCGTTTCCACCGTCGCATCCCCCAAAACACCGCTCCCACCTCCGGTTCCTCCTCCTCCCCCACTCCTCCCCAAACCTCTTTCCTCCGGGCGCTTTCACCCTCCGTGGCCGTCCCCATCGCCACAGCCCACCGCCCTCGCTGCCGACGCCACCAGCGCCGCGGAAACTTTTCAAAGGAGCGAAATGGCATTTCTTTCCTCTTTAAACTCCCAGTGTTATTTCTCCGAGACGGGGCTTAACCTCGCTTAACATTTCCCTTCCGCTATCGGCGCTGCCGCAGGAGATTAAAGTACAAATGAGGCGAAAAATAAGCAGCTAGTTGTTCTCACAGCATTTGGTTATACGGCCGCGCAAGCGAGCACGCGGTGCGGAGCGGGGCGCGGAGCGGGGAGGGGCGGGAGCGCCCATAATATACTTTAATCCATTTCACAACTGACGGCAATGCAATCGACTCGAGCAGAAATACAATCAAAGGAAACTTTTTTAGGACGGTAGCGCCCTTTTAAATTCCGCACGGGACACGACGGCTAATTGGCCCAAGTTCATATCAGATGCCGCTCTTTTCTTTTTACACACTCACAGAGAAACTTATTAACGCCGCGCGCTATGCGGCCCGCCATCGTAAAGCGTTACGACTCTCAGGACGTGGCCCGAGTTTTACTGTTCATTTTTCCTCTCCCTCAAGATTGATTAACATGGGGAATTGCTTTCCGTAAATTGTCAAAAGGCGAGGCGAGGCAAGGCAAGGCAGGGCAAGGCACAAGGAGTTGCGGGGATAAAAGATACCACTCGCTGCCCAGCACCGGCGCCTTAACGCCAGCGGCGTCTGGCTCGTGAAATGCGCTGCCTTATTCCTCGGGTTAAGGGTTGACATTTGAGCTCGTACAAATTTCTGTATGAGAAGGCCTCTCAGGGTAGTCAGTACAGGAGTAGGACATGCTGAATATTACGAACCGCGAGCTCTGTGACACTCATGCTATAACGCAATGTGTAAATGAAAAATCATATGACTCGCATGCGTGCATGAGCTCCATAGGAGAAAGCGAAATGAGAAATATGAGAAGAGGAATGATGGAAATATGTAGAGGGACTGAGAGATTAAGAGATAGAGAATTGCATTGAGTGAGTGAGTGAGTGAGAGAGAGAGAGAGAGAGAGAGAGAGAGAGAGAGAGAGAATGAACTGGAGGAAGAAGTGACGATGAATTAGAGAGAGATGCAATAATCATTAATGAAAATGAAGAGAAATGTAAACCAGCAATATATATAATCAACGGTGAGCAAAAAGAGGGAGATATTTAATTAGGTAGAATAAAAAAACCAATAAAAATAATTGTGCAAATTATTAGGAACGGATATTCAAATAACACAGCATTCAATTTTAACAATGAATGTTCTCTCTGCAAATTGGTCAATACATTGATGCGTTTTCATTATTCTCGTATCCATAAGAGTGGCCATATTACTGTAACAAGACTTTAATTTATGATTGAGAATGAATTATGGAAAGTAATCTTTGAGCGTATATATTGCTGTAATAAGCCAGGGTGTACTGCAGAGATAGATAATAATCCTAGGTCGTATTCATTAATTCAAATAGTAATTATCATACTATAGCATATATATTATTCGATGAATACATTTTCTTCATGTTCCATTCGCAGTATTGTCATATACACAATTCATGACATTGTAGGAATATGTACTAAGCTGTTTCCGGTTCGAAATTTCAACATACAGCTATTATGAGACCTACCGTATCTGCATAATTTTGGGTTGTAGTATACACAATGTTTTTCGTGGATGTGTGCTAATGAATAGTTATTCATTGAAACGGTTTTCGCATAACAATTTTTATTGTATGTTTTTTATCCTTTTATCTCTGCAAACTTTTGAAAGTGCTTTAATATTGCTTGCACGTAAGAATGTATAACTTTTACAATATCTTTGATGATCACATTTGAAATACTACAAAAATCTCTACTACAAAAATCGCATGTATGTTGGAAGGAATAAATAATTGGAGTAACTAATTGAAAAGCACTTGTAGTAGTAGTTAATTGTAATGTAAGAAGTAAGTAATTGTGTTGTAGTAATTACTAATTGAAAAGCACCTGTTCTGAAGCTTCCTTGCAATGATCTAAGTTTTTCCATGATGTTATTACTTGAAAATTATTTTTTATTGAATACTTGCGAACGTTTTGATTGTTTTACGTACCCTTTACGATGTCTTGACGTATCCTTGGGGACACGCAAATTAACGTAGATTTTCACTTTTCTCCTTGATGTTAGGCTCTGTTTATGGCGTAGTTTTGGGTGTTTATGGTTGACGTACTCGAGCGCTGAACTCGGTCCCGCAAAAGATTTTTTTCCAACCTGTCAAAATTTGAACAAAAATAAAACAAAACGAAAAAAATAACTTGTTTTAAAGAAAAGGAAAGACAAAAGACGAAAAAAAATAATATTTAAAAGCAATTGAAATTTCCAGACATGATATTAATTCTTACTGAGGTGATAAAGATCCATTATAATAATATAAGGTAATTATAAACAACAAAAAATACAAAGAAAATTAAAAATGATCAAAGAGGTATAAATTTAATTATGTTTATTTAACATCAACATTTCTCCTGCAAGAATTGAAGTTTCGGTTATTAATTAACTTAATTTTAAATATGCCCTCACATGATTTTTCACAAGCAATCTATCTATTTCCTTGTATTATTATTCATTTAGAGGAATGAATACAGCGTCAGCAGTGAAATACGCAAAGATACGTAAATCGTGTTACATATTATATTAGAAAAGATATGATTTAAATGAAACGTAAGAGAAATGAAATGCACTCAAAGCTGAGAAATGGAACTACGTTCCAGGCAGCAATTTCTTCCTTAAATATTTTTAAAATTCCGTAGGATTCACCACATACACACACACACACACACACACACATATATATATATATATATATATATATATATATATATATATATATATATTGCCAGTATCGATAGGAACCTGTTTGGGATGAGCTGATTAGAAGGTCTAATTCAATTCTACAGACTTTAGGGTCGACGTTTCGAAACCCAGTGGTATGTCGCGGGGGCTTCATATTTTGCTGGTATCAGAATCAGAGTAGCCCACAAACACTCCATTACTCTCCAGTTTGCTCGCGAAATATCCCTGAGATAGCGTCAAGAGTCCCCTGTTTAGACAGGAAAATAAAACTTGACAATAACGATTTATTGATTTTTTTTATTATTATTTGTATTTCTAAGTTTTCTTCCCATAGGGTGTCATTTATCGCTTGGAAGAGTTAAGAAAACTTCGCTACAAAATTTCACCGACAAAATAGTGAATTTTTCTTACGAAAGTTTTGGAGTAGACGCCTACCAGAACCGCGCCGGGAGAATACGATTCCATCTTCCAGCCCTAGTCTCCCGCCAGAAACAGCGTACCTGGCGCGCTTCCCGGATCGGAGGGGCTCCGCGGCGCTGGGCGTGTAAATGAAAGGGATAAATCGCGCCGCTTGTTTGAACGAAGTTGACGCTTCAAAAAGTCGCCGAAACGAAAGTTGGTCTCCGCGCGGCGCGGCGGCTAGAGCAAACTTCTGTTTTTGAGACAAGGCCCTGCCATTTGTACCCCCCCCTTTTTTTGGTCTGGCTGATGGTGCTTAAGTGTGCCGTTCTTCACAATTTGGGGAAGTGCTCTTCGAAGATGCCGAGATGGCTTCGCGTGGGGCCCTGCCGGAAGCCGGAGATCGCCGCGAGAGCGGCGGAGTGTTCGCGAGGACGCTTCTTGGACTGCGTTGCCGTGAGAGGGCGTGCGATCCTTCGTGGCCAGTCCTGGTGTGCCGCTTGGGATGGCTCCTGGGCTCTTTCGCGTGTCGGTTGAATTACTTGCACTGCTTTCATCTTCACTGCTCCATTTTTTTCTGTTTTTCACTCGATCTGTAGATTCGTCTGCTCATGGTTATTCGAATTATTTAGGGCACATGAGAACTTGTGTCTGGACTGTCAATGAATATTCCATTCTTTATTATCTGCAGTCGTTTATTTTCAAGTTCGCATCTCTTTTCGTTACTTTCTATGCCATTTACAAATCTTGAGAATCTACTTACACAAAATGACTCTAGTTTATTCCTTTTTCACCTCATCTTTATTTGATTTTATCCCCACTTATACCTTCACTTATTTGATTTTATCCCCACTTCTATCCCAACATATTTCTTCATCATTCTCGGCTTCGTTTCTTCTTTCTATTTTCTATCAATATTCCAGAAAAGCTTAATGGTCTCTTCTCCATGACTTATTCGTTCTTGTCTTTATCTTGCAATTTGACCTCTTCCACACTCAACAACTTCCACTCCCACACAATAAACCCCACATTTGCTTCCTTTCTGCGCAACAGTCGTTTCCACTCCCTCTCTCTCTCTCTCTCTCTCTCTCGCCTTCGGTGAACACCTCCCACTCCCTCTGCTTGCCCGTTTGCTCACCCACACCCACCACTCGCCGTATATAAATAGGCTCAGGAGGCGCAGTTTAATATAATCCCGCTGCTATCGGGCGCGATTTTGCGGGAGAAGAATAGTCCAATATGGCGATCAATGCGCCTATCACTCTTCTTTTAGCGATCTCCCAGTCAAGGAGAAAACAAAGTAGCGAGAACAACAAGGGGAAAGAAAAGAGAAAGAGGGATGGACGGAGAAAAAAGGAAGCAAAGCTATTTTCTGACAAGACTTTTTATTTTCTTCTTGTGCCGAGAAGTTTAGAGGATAAACCGCGCGGAAAATTGTCAATTTTGTTTCAGTCGTGTGACACGGCGGCTCTGAAGCTGGAGTGTATCTGTATCGTGGCCGGGAACCCCCTTCTCCCTTTCGTGCTGCTCAGTCGATACCCCTCTCCCTTTTTGTCTGCCCGAACCCTGCCTGCCCGCGCCGCGCGCGACCACGCCCGCGCTCATGCACAGTGAGGCAAAATGGCGCCGAAGGAGAACACGCCACGTAACGACTCTACGACGTCCAAGATGGCGTTCCGACCACCACCAAAGCGTAACGCATGTGTTAAATAGAACGTATTATATTGCACGCATTCAGCAATACAAAATTATATCATTGGCTTGAATGTTCGAAAATTTAGTTTTGCGTTTGACGTTTCATTTCGTTGTCAGGAACGAGAATACGTCACTTACAATAATATTATGTTTTTAATAATAAAATGTAATACAATAAATAAATTTCTTTTTGCGTTGTTGCCTTCAATTTTTTTCATGAAACATTGCAATTTTTTTTAACGCATTTGGTGTTGCCCTTGAGATGGTGAATTACTATTTTAACATTCCACTTTTATTCAGTTATAATTCATATTAAAAATAAAATAAAAATATTAACAGCGTCTCTATTATTAATTAATATATTCATCTCCAAACGCATCGCTTATCTTTCTTTTCACCTAGAAAACATTAAGCTTTATCAGATACTTTTTAATATATAAGGGTTTCCTTATATATTTAATGGCGCACTCAAATAGGAGGTCTCATGGGACTTCAGTCCCCAACCCTAGAAACCAGAAATATATATTCAGAATATAGATTTTACTAATTTGATATACGAACGAAAGTATTCAGTACATCAAATATTAATGTTATAAACTTTAACTACAAGTATATAATAAGTATGCAAATAAATATATATTTTATACTAAGCAGCAATGCAAAATTATTTATAAGAAAACGTCAAGTTGGTTGGACACTGCACCTGCAGCCCTTGCCACCAGAGAACAATCCTCGGCGCGCCCCCACATTTAATTTTACTTATTTATTTATAAATGTACTTATTAATTTAGATTTATTCATTTTCGCTAAGCGAGCCCTTGGGTCCATTTGGGTGCAGTGTGCATGGCCCTGCGCTGCCCGGCCCGCCGCGCATCTCCAAGTGAAATGCCCAGACGTCGGAGGGCGCCCCGCAGGGGGGGCCGAGCGCCGGCCACTCGCTATAGATTGCAGGCGGCCGTGCCTGCGAAGGCGCCCCTCGCTCGCCCGTCGGCGCATTCGGGACACATTCACTCGTGCAAGATGGCTGACCGGCACGGCGATAAGCAGTACGAAATACTCGTACGGCTTGGGAGGAAGGTTAATAATCTGGTAGCAACTGTGTGAATGATTAGCCTGAGGGAAGGAATCGACTGAGTTATTGAAAAAAAAAGTAAAAAATAATAATAATATAAATAAAGATTCATTCTAAAGGGATGCTTCTTGAAAATATGTATGTGTAAAATGTTTAATTTATTCCTTGAACTTTTATTGTAATTTGACAATTCGTACCTTGTATTTGACTATTAGAATATCAATGTAGGCTAATCATTCGTTTTATGAAAAAATGACAGATATGATATGAACAAACATGTATACACACACTTCTCAATTTTATATATGCACTTTTCAACACTCTTTAACATTTATTATACATTTTTCTGCATATTATTAAGATCAAGAAAGGCGCTATTTTGTACAAAGCAAAACTTGACGATATTATCATACTAATGACTGTTTATAAGTGTAGTGTTTCATGTGTCTACTTTCTCCCTTTCAAAATCAGAGAAGCAGCTTCAGTGAGACTTTAAAAACACTTTTTGTACCATTACAAAAGAACCAAATTGAATCTTATAAATTGTCCACAACGGTGACATGTCAAGATTGTCGGTCGCCTAAGTCTGTTAAATTCCATTCGGCCGCTGCCTGGCCGCATCGCGTCGCGCTCTCCTTCGACTTCCTCCCGCCTGCCCGCCCGTCCACGACGTTGACGCATCACCGGCCCACGCGCGCCGTCCCTTTATAACGCGATGTAATAACCGCGCGGCGCGCCTCCGCCGCACGGACGCAGCCCGGCAGCCCGGCACGGACGCAGCGCCACCCGACGCCGGAGTGCGGTTACTCGGCGGGCAGAGGCGTGCAAAACCGCCTTCGTTTCGGTTGCTCCATGTTTGGAGAAACGATTTCGTGGAGAGTTCTTAACAACTGCCGCAGCCCGAGAACAACCTTCGATGTACAGTGGGAGGAAAGGTTCTTGTATGAACCACCCACCGTCTAGAAAGTCAATAAAGAAATAAAATAGGGAAGCTGCAGTGAGGAAATTATTTAGAATAACGAAAATTATGTTTCAATTCTGTAGATACCGAAAAGAAGATAAAGTTGATGCAACTTAGCATTTCTCAATATTTTGAATGGTTTCATTCCATTATTTGAATTTCGAAGACCTTAAGTGGATGTAATGTTAGTAAATTCAAAGAAAATATTTAGGCCGACAGTCTCGGTTTCCTGAGCTTGTAGCAACATATCGTCCGTTTTCTAAGAACCAATTCCGTTGATCGATGTGGGCAATACTTTGTCAACAGCGCAAATACTTCATGAGTCCTCTTCGGGTCTGTTTACCGATTGCCCCGTGGACGAGTTTTGTAACGGAGGCGAACTGCACGACTCCGGTAATAGCTGCGGGTCGGCGGCTGCGCTGTTGGGTGGCAGTTTTCCGCAAAGTACTTGTCGAGCGGCCGGGCGGCCGCCAGGCCTCCCACTGAGCTCTTGGCTCGGACGCCGCCGCCGCCGCCAGCAAGACGGATTGCGCCGTGGACCGCTCACGACGCCCAAGACCACGACCGCGACGTCCACGTCCATTCCTACGAACATGACCTGCATGATGGAGAAACAATTCCACAAATAACAAGGCCGCCCTCCGGACGTCGAGAAGCTGCCAGCGGTGGCGGTGGTCGTTGCGTTGCTGGAGGCAGCGGCAACGATGGCAGTGGAGCTAGAAGTGGCTGCTGGGGAGTCGGTGGAGGGGACGGTGGCGGTGGTGCTAGTGGCGGCGAGTCGG